TCCTAGCACTCAGGAGGTCGAGGCAGGGAGAGCTGAGTTGGAAGCTGGACCAGGCTGTGTAGTGAAAGCCTGTCTTAAAAACACAGTGGCTGGGGGTTGGGGGAAAGGGATAGAAGAAAGGAAGGGAAAGAGAGGCAGGCACCCCAGTTCCTGTGAAAGAATGAACTCGAACATGTTTTTCTTTTCTTTTTCTTTTTAAAATAGAGTCTCACTATGTAAGTCCTGGGTGGCCTGTAACTCACTTTGTAGACCAGGCTGGTCTTGAACTCACTGAGATTCACCAGTGTCTGCCTCCCAAGTGCTGGGATTAAAGGTGTGAGCCACTATACCCAGCCCAACAAACAAGCTTTTTGTCAGGGATATTTTCTAGGTTTTTCTGACAAGGGTTGTACACTGGGACCCAAATGCCCAAGACAGGTTATCAGAGACTGACTTCACACTCCTAACACTAGAAACACAGCTGTGTTGGACCCCTAAGAGCCAAGGCACAGTGTCACAGACCCACGGGAGGCTGAATCCCAGCCAGATAATGGAGCTGAGTCCTCCTCTGAGAAGTCCAAATCAACATGTCCCCAAGTTGGTTGAATCCTTCAGCATTCTGAGTAAGGAAGATGGGAGCATGGACACAAAATGCCCTGCCCACCAAAGGAGCAAGGGGTCCTCTGACACACAGACAGACAGACAGACAGACACTGAGATGAAGCATGCTCTCGGGGAGCACCTCCTGGCTGGGTCTAGGAAGAGCTGCCAGGGACCCCAGACTGCTGTGGAAGGGAGGACCATGGAGTTCTCTCCGGAGGAGCCTATTGGCTTCTGCACTCAGAGTTTATGAGCAAGTCGTGCGTCAGGAAGTGTGGAGACCCTGCTGTCCCAGCTCTGTGGGTGGGACCCTTTTCCTTACACCCTCTATAAAGCCTCAGGGCTGGGTCAGACGGTCACTGATGTCATCCCACAGCCCCAGCCAAGAAGGCTCCAGAGCCAGCCCCAGCCCAGAAGCCCGCGGAGGCAGAGGCAGCCGAGGAGGAACACTACTGTGACATGCTCTGCTGCAAGTTCAAGCGCAGGCCCTGGAAGATGTACCGGTTCCCCCAGAGCATCGACCCACTGACCAGTGAGTGCCCTTGGAGGGGTCCCCCCCATGCACCATGAGAAGGGAGGCAGGGTCCAATCCCATGGACATCCTTGGTTCATGATTCCTTGTACTTTCCAAAATGATTCCGCGGGTGCTTGCCTGGTTCTTTAGCACAAGTCCCCAGGTTGGGAACATAGGCCACACCCATTTTACAGATGAAGAAGCTGAGGCACAGAGGAATGAACTACCTGAAATACAGCCCGTTAAACTCCTCACCTTGACCTTGGCCAAGTGTTGTTTCTAACCTGGCTGTGTGGGCTCAGAGCAGGGTGGAGTTCATCATAGTCTGAAGTGAATTCCCGAGATCCTCTGTAAGCCCATCCCATAGTCCTCCAGTCCACCATCCTCCACATGTGCACCGCACTTCACAGTTCACACCGGAGCTCCTCGTCTCCTCGGCTGGTCATTTCCTGTGACTTTGACAGGATCAAGGCAGGTGCCAGAGAGGAACTTCTTTGAAGTTAAACAGGGAGTCACTCAGGGGTCACCCTGGTGTCTACTGGGTTTCTAAGATACCAAGTGATCTCTAGTCTGTCCGTACATCCACCCACCTGTGTGCCCATCCATCTGTCCATCCCCTGTGTGTTATTTACTTCTCTGGATTTCCTAAGATAGAAAATGTATTGTCAAAAACTGTTCATGGGCTGGTGAGGTGACTCGGTGGGTAAAGATGCCAGCCAGGCCTGGCTACCTAAGCTCCATCCCCAGGAGCCACGTGGTGAAAGAAAAGAATAAGCTCCTGAGAGTTGACCTCTGACCTCCAAAATGCTCTCTGGTACCCTGATGCTCCACCCTCTCATATATAAATGAATGTAATAAAAAAAAATGTAAAGGTGGAAAGCAAAAGGATCTTTCACTTAGCCATCTGTTATCCAAAAATGCCACCATGCCCCCTCCTCAGAAGACTCTTTCAGGGCCTGTCAGTGACCGCCATGTCCACCTATCCACTCACCCGCTCATCCACCTGTCCGCCCATCTGTCTGTCTTCCATGTGATGAAATCACATGGTTGAACCACACGCGGTTGCCCGGGTGAAGCGCCCTCTCTTGCTGGCCTTCAAGTCTGTCCCTGTCCCCCTCAGACCTCATGTACATCCTGTGGCTGTTCTTCGTGGTGCTGGCCTGGAACTGGAACTGCTGGCTGATTCCTGTGCGGTGGGCCTTCCCGTACCAGCAGCCAGACAACATCCACTTCTGGCTGCTGATGGATTACCTGTGTGACTTCATCTACCTCCTGGACATCACCGTGTTCCAGATGCGCCTGCAGTTTGTCAAAGGCGGGGACATCATTGTGAGTCCCAGGCAGGTGGAGGGGGTGACCAGGGCAGACCCTCCAGCCAGGGCCTTCAGGGGAGTGACCTTTAACACCGTGACAGGCGATAAAATGAATGAACAGGGAGATCCCGGGAGCAGTTGTGCATGTTTTTGTTGGTTTGTTGTTTTGCACCTCTTGCGTGGGTTCCAATTATACACATTAGCACCATTCAGTGATGAGCTGGTTCCCAGGCCGTCTGATGGAGTTAAGGGGAAGTGGTCCAGAGAACAGCATCGGGGGCGGGTGCACCTGCTGCAGAGTCTAGCTGAAGCGTGCCCCGCCTGAGCTTCAGTGTGGAACAACACCCCTGAGATGCAAGTATTGCTGTGAGAACTAGATGGTGCATGCAGAGTGCGGGGCACAGGGAGCCGAGAGTCTCCTGCAGAGAGCACAGTGATGATCTGCTCTGTGGATCAGCCTGACCCGGTCCCTTACGGTGAGGAGACCGAAGCCCTAACTGTGACCCTGGTTGCGTGACCCGTGCCTGTATTCCTAGCACTCAGGAGGTCGAGGCAGGGAGAGCTGAGTTGGAAGCTGGACCAGGCTGTGTAGTGAAAGCCTGTCTTAAAAACGCAGTGGCTGGGGGTTGGGGGGAGGAATAGAAGAAAGGAAGGGAAAGAGAGGCAGGCACCCCAGTTCCCGCGGCTGTGAGCAAGTCATTTTCTAAAATTCCACACGGAGGGCTGGGTGTGTAGCTCAGTGGTACTTGCCTAGCTCCCTGATGCCCCGGGGTCCATCTTCACTACTGCAAAGGGAACAAAAGAAGTCCAGACCACTGCCAGGGTGGGCTTTCTTCTAAAACACTTCTAAGTGGACTTTCCTTCTGGACTAGAGTTTCTTTTGATAAGGGGTAGTGACTTGCTGTAAGTATCCATGGGAGAAGTCAGGCAGTTAACATATAGAAGGGGGCCGATAAGGAGTCAGAAAATATTAGAGAGAGCTTTAAGCCACTTTCATTACATTGATAAGAATTAAGAGGGACCCAGGCATGGTGGCACACACCTTTAATCCCAGTACCCAGGAGGCAGAGGCAGGGAGCATCTTTGTAAATTCAAGGCCAGCCTGGTCTACAAAGAGAGACTCTGTCTCCAAACAAAATGAGTCAAGGGGTTTGGAGAGATGGCTCAGCAGTCATGAACACTTCCTGCTCTTCCAGAGGACCCAAGTTCAGTTCCCAGCACCCACATCGGGTAGCTACAAGGGATCCAATGCCTTCTTTTGGCCTCTATGGG